TAAACTTTTGAATGGGGTCATTTTTATAAATTCAGTTATTATTTTGTTTTGTGGAGTATAAGTGTAACGGAGGCCAGCGAGTAGGTGCTATGCAGGTAAACCTCACTCCCCTGATCTCAAGAGGCGCACTAGCGCTAGAGGCTGCAGTCTTCAGCCTCCTTGTTAGTGAATCTGCCTCCCATGCTGGAGACCTGGGTTCGAGACCCACTCGGAACAAGAACGAGGTGTGGCGGACGCTAGAGGCTGTAGTCTTTAGCCACCTTGTTAGTGAGTCCGCCTCCCATGCCGGAGACCTGGGTTCGAGACTGACTCGGAACAAGAACGAGGTGTGGCGGAGAGGACCCGGGAGAGAGGGGTTACATATGTAAACATCTGTTATGTGAAATGGCTTATTCAGGACAGTACTAAATAAAAAATAACATGCAATTTTCATGATTCCTCTTATTTTGTTTCAGATTATTAACATTTTGCACATTCTGCAAGGGGTATGTAAACTTATGAGCACAACTGTATATCAAAAGGCACCAACAAATTTTGAAAAAATTAAAACATAAACATGATCAATGCACATTTAAGACTGGTATACACTACACAACTTTGAAATTAATGAACAAATTTTAAAACACTACAGGCATCATACACTTGCCGCCTTTGTCTAGCATCATATCATCACACATTCTGGGCATCATAGACTAAACAACTGAGGATCACACACAATTAGACTTTCAAGGCATTCTGAACTAATGTGCATCCTTGCTAGGATTTGCGACAAATTAAAACGTGTGTTGTAAAACTGACTAAAAATATCAAATATGTTTGATATCCTCTGACTGGATGGAATCATAGTCTGAAGCTAAATATGTGCTCTTCATACACAATGTGATTTTCTGTGAAATCCATCAACTCTGACTGGCTCTGGCTTTCGTCAACTAGCGTCAACTCATTCAGACACAAATGTGAGCAAAACTTGTGTAGTGTATTCCAGCCTTATCTTGATTAATGGAATTTGTGGTTATATTTGTGTACCTGGACCACAAAACCAGTCATAAGTAGCACGAGTATATTTGTAGCAATAGCCAACAATACATTGTATGGCTCAGAATTATAGATTTTTCTTTTATGCCAAAAATCATAAGGATATTAAGCAAAGATCATGTTCTATGAAGATATTTTGTAAATTTCCTACCGTAAATATATTAAAACTTAATTTTTGATTGGTAATATGCATAGCTAAGAACTTCATTTGGACAACTTTAAAGGCAATTTTCTCAGTATTTTGATCTTTTTGCACCCTCAGATTCCAGATATTCAAGTAGTTGTATCTCAGCTAAATATTGTCCTATCCTAACTTTCAGATGATGTATAAATCTAAATTTCGAGAAATTGACCCTTATGACTGGTTTTGTGGTCCAGGGTCACATTTTATCTCTCCCTATATATAGAGATATATTATCTCTGTATATTTTACAGTCTAGTATATATGTTTCAAAAGTAATGTGACACCATTTTTATATATATATATATATAAACAAAAGAAACAGAACTGACCAGGTCCAGCGCTGCTGCTAAAATCGAAGCATCTGGTATGGTTCCCGGCTCACAGCAGTTCAACAGGAACTGAAATCTCTTCATGCCCTGTCTGATTGCACCTAGATTCACAATGTTCTTATTCTTCATGGCCTCCTGACTGGCGGCCAAGCGCTCCTGGAATCCATGGCAACCTTGTCGTGGTACAGAACGGTGTCAGTGAAAGGAGTGTAGAACCTCTACTACATGAACAGCTGAAAATAGCTTATGAAATATGCATCTGGTGATATCGAATGAACATGCAAGTCTGTTTTTGGCACTAGTCTGAAACAACAAGAATACTCAAGATTTGCAAATCAAACTATGACTTCTGAAACCCCCCGAATAAACATCTAATAACTATTAACTATTAACTTGGAGAGCTGAAGGTTCACGACAACTCTGACAAAGCTGTGACGGGTCATGGTGCCGGGTCATAGGTCAGAGAACCACAGTCCCTCTTCCAGCAGATGGCTCTGACAAAGATGGACAAACACACAGAGAGCTGGTATGGAAGATGGTAGAGGAGTGTACCAGAAGCACAAGACACGTCAAGTACGGGCACACACACAAACAAACAAACAGAGCAAACTGTGGACGGGGGTGGGGGAAGGCACCCCAGGATTCTACCATCTTTCTCTTCTGTGTGGTGAAGCTTGGAAGGGTTCCTCCGACCAGACCGCCATTTACCAAGCCGCTTGAAGAAATTCTCCTCTTCCTCTCGCCCATATTCGATAGCGCTACCCTCCGACAGCTTCACAGCACTGGTGAACTTGACCTGAGATGTACAGAAAAACTCGAATCAAGGACTTCCTGTCTAATAGCTCTACAGCAATGACTGATTGTCTGCCATGAAAGTTCAGCTTTATTCCCAAGAAAGAAATTAGGTGAGGAAGAAAAATGATTGCACTAATGATCACAGTAACGTTGACATAGTTTCTGGTGGGACCTGACAAATATAACCCCCTTTTCCCACCTTGTGTGTGCATACTGATTGAGTATAATTACTTAAAAACTTAATTTTTGATTAGTAATATGCATTGCTAAGAACTTCATTTGGACAACTTTAAAGGTGATTTTCTCAATATTTTGTTTTTTTTGCACCCTCAGATTCCAGATTTTCAAATAGTTGTATCTCGGCCAAATATTGTCCTATCCTAACAAACCATACATCAATGGAAAGCTTAATTCAGCTTTCAGATGGTGTATAAATTGACCCTGGTATGACTGGTTTTGTGGTCCAGGGTCACATATTAACATTTTTGTTATTAGAAATAAAATTAATGTAATAAAATTAATGTTACATTATATATATATATATATTCATCTAGTTGCCACGGAAACATTTTGCATTTTAATTTAGTTTAACTTGATGTACTAAATAACTAAAACTGAAATAAAAATTAAAATGTACATACAAAAATGTTCATACATATAGTTCATACATATAATGACTGTAATATACATTTTTGATGAGCATGTTTTTGATTACTTTTTATGTTTTATTTACATTTTTGAGGGGCATAAAATTAAAACGATCAAGGCAGTGCTATTTTAGTATTATTGATATACAATATCATTGATATACTATGGTTTTTGTTACAATTTTGAATTAGATTCATTTTCATTTTCGTTTATTTAGAGAGGATAAATATAACATGTATTCAAAGAAAGTGTGTAAAGGAAAGTATTTGATTACTGTTTACTTGATGGTAATACCACATGACAATATAGAGTCATTAAACCTGAAAATGGTATGAATCATACCAAACCAACATGGATAATATTACATTACATGGATACTATTACAGAACTTTGCAGATGAGTTCTAAACATGCTCATCTACACCATGTTTTTTTTTTATCATGGACACTCTTATTTGTCATTGACCATCCTAACCAACTATTCTAACCTTACTACTCAGTAAATGCAGAGATTTGCCCTCACCTTGGAGCTCTGTCTGATAAAGGACAGTCTGTCCACAGAGCTGATGTCCAGCAGGTCCTCCACCCCATCAGCCAGACCAGATAGAGAGGAGCGTTTCAGCCAGTTTCCTGTTCCACAAGTTAAATGGTTATATGAAATAAAAATTAGTTTAGCACTCTGGTAACTCTGAGACCTATTCAGGTTTGCACTCTGGTACCCTTTAGTGCAAACAAGCCAAAAGGAATGTAAGAGGGAAGATTTCATGCTGGTGCTCCGGCTCATACAGCATAAGCACAAAAATGGACAAATAACACACACACTCACGGTATATAAAAGTATTATAAATAAATAAACCTTTGAATGCACATGTTTTTCAAACTAAAGCTTCCATTATGACACTGTATGATGAGGCTGCATTGCTAAAACACAACACACATACGTAACATGGAGAGAGTGAGTGGATGGCGAACTTTCCTATGGCATGCTGGTGACAAAAAAGGAAAGAACAGAGATATGAATGATTTTTCATAACATTCAGATCCCTAACACACCAGTAAACCAATTACAACTGAAGACTCTAGTTAAAATACAGTTTATTGGTTGATTTAAGTCCTAATTTTAATTTTACAATCTCTCATATTACAAGCATTCTTATCATAAAAATATGCATAAGGTTGTGTACCAGAAAGAACTTTTATAATCTTACCTATGTGTTGCATGGACATTAACACATTAAAGAGAATGCATATCTTCATTTGTTATGAACAAATTCAAGTGAGTATGATTCCTAAAGAATCATCTGTGTATGGAAATGATAGATTTGTAGTTATTAGGTTACAGAGATCAAATTACTATCAATTTTGAACTGTTAAGGTAAATGTATTTACTGTACTTTCTATTTTACTTACTGTTTAGCTGCTGTTTAAAATGTATTGTATTTAGCTGCTGTTTAATGAGTAAATGTATTTCATAATATGGAATATTATGAAACCTGAATCCTGCTTATACAGTAATTCTGTAATTAAAGTAATTCAGAGAAAGGGCAGCCAAGGGCATGAAGTCAAACTGTAATTATCTGCTTTGTATGGGAAAACAAAGGAACAGAGACAATTATGGTTATGTTTGTAAAGAATTTCTCTCTCACAAAAACATACCTATGGGCAGTTTGAGTTTCTTGCGTAGTGAAATCCGTCGGGAACGTGATCGTGAACGACGGTCTGTGGTAGTACCAGAGTGGGCAGTGGTGCACTCTGACGTATCCTGCTCTGATTGGCTGCTTGTATCACTGGCGGCACTCTGAGATTTGAACATCTTCCTCCAAAAGTCTTTCCTTCCTAAAAGCGCTCCTGGGATTTGCTCCTCACTGATAGACAGAAACAGATACACACAAACTCAGTCCATGCATATATTTGATTTATGCATTTCAAATATTTTAAACTGTTCAAATTGATTTACAAATACATGTTTAAGTGTACTAAGCAAACAGCTCAATACACAGTCGAGTCATGACAGAATATTCATTGATGTCTTCATACGAATCTTGTGAATAAATATGTTATATTTATGAATGTACTTTTTTGCTGAAGATGGCTTGGTCTCCTCCTTTTCATCTGTTTTTTTTGTGGTATTGAGTTTTTCAGCACTGTCCAGAAGGGCACTGAGAGCCACACGTCGGAAGACATTTCCATGGGACTCCTTAATAAACTGAACCAGCTGACGTATGTCACAATACAGGCCCTGATTTTTGTGTGTTTAGATGTAAGGAGAGACAGTCATAGTGTGAATGTGTGAAAAGAGAGAGATGGAAAATAGAAAACAGAAATATAGATTTAAATATTTATTCTTTTGTGAACAATGGAGTGCTTTATCTGCACAGGTAATTATCAGCAATTCATTTTACATAGTCTATACACATAGAAGCACTCAAAGTAAAACTAGTGCTAAAACTGTTCTAACCAGATGCAATGCGTCAAGATCCCAGCCACAAAAAAATGGTCTTTTTTAAAACTCATTTTCAGGGGAAGTTGCCAAACGAAGGTTGATTTGTTGCTAAAAGTTGCTAAATGACATTGTGATGTCATTGCGCGATGACGTCATCACGTAATCACGACTCAAAATTGTGTCACTGCATCAAATCTCAGCAAAAAAAATTATTTTATATATATGTTCATTTAGATTTGTTCGTAAAATAATATAAATGCATAATATAATAATATTAAAATATAAATGAGTGTATTTTTAAATACAACATTGAATTATTAAACACATTTTTTAACAATTACAATTTAAGATTTTTTATTAGCTAGTAAACTAGTAAAACTAAACAATTATAGTTTTAAGCAGTGTATTAGTAGTTATTTAGTATGTTACACTCTAAGAAAAGTCAGTAAAAATAGTCTATATGTTAATATGAAGGAATTTTCCATATTGATTTTTCACAGGTTTTTTACCTGCATTTTAAATTACGCATTGTTTTTTGTGTTTTCGGATTACAGGGTTATAACGGATAATGGATTACCGATAATGTCCTGGAAAATTACTAGTAGCTTTTCCATTTTTCTATATATTTTTCTTACAGTGTACTAAATGATTAACAATCACAGGTACCAGCTACTAACAAGGTGTATCACAAAGCGGTACTTTGACGTCATACACCGATCGGTCTGCGCAGCGGCACTTCAAGCCGAACACACCTAATTATTATTGATCAATTGCAAATAGCAGCTAACTTAATTCATGTGACGTGTGTACTGCTATCTTTGGTTTCCCCCTTTTTCTGTAATTTAGATGGAAAAGGTGTGCCTTTTTATCGCTTCAGTCATTTATCAAAAGTTGCCAAATAAATTTTAAAAATAGCGAAATTTGTTGCTAGGTGCTTTTGGAAGAAAAAGTTACTAGGGTAATCTGAAACATTGCTAAATCTAGCAACAAAATTGCTAAATTGGCAACACTGGACTTCATACTGAATGCGAAAATGAAGCATGATGTGATTATATAAATCACAAACCACAGCCAATCAGTAATGTAATTGCGATCTCACAATAAAACTTAATTTCTCGCACTTGCAACTTTATTTCTATCAATTTATGGCTTTATTTCTCACAACTTGTGACTTTATTCACATAATTTGCAACCTTGTTTCTCAATTTGTGACCTTATTCTTGCAACTTTACATCCCACAGTGTGACTTAAAGTCGCGATTTAACAGAAATAGTGACAATTTTGTTTTTCTGTATTGTGACCTACATCTGATTAAAATGGATTATTGAAAAATAATCCAAAAAACAAGTGAAGAAAGTATTGCAAATAACTAAATACAATCTGGATAATTTTAGGTATATAAGAAACTGCTTAACAACTACAGCAGCAAAATTATATATAAATTCAATGATTATCCCTCACTTAACATACTGTATGACAATTTGGTCTCAAGCTAAAGGTACAACACTGAAGCCTATTCTCTCCTTGTACAAGAACTAGGCATATATAAAGTGTTAGACAGAAAACTCAATACTTACCACCACTGCGATATTTTGGGCAAATATGATATCCTTAACTGGGAAAATCTAACAAAATACACTGACGCCTGTCTGATGTTTAAAAACCTAAATGGAAAAGCTCCTCCACCACTTAGTATTTTTATTAAGCAGAAAAATGTAAACAACAGATCTACAAGATCCGCTCAGAGAGGGGACTGTGAAATTCCTTTCATTTCCACACTTCCAATTGAAATAACAAATTGTACCACTCCTTTAGACAAAGTCTTAAAGCCTGGCTTTTAAAAAATCAGACGTGATAAATTTTAATCTATGTAGTTTATTGCTCATTTTATTATTACTTTTGTTATTATTTAACCCGCTGTTAACATGTTTCATGTCCTTTGCTCATTGTCAGGCAGCCAAATGCATGGTTTGGGTATGTTTGGATTATTTTATTAGTATTTTATGAATTGTCTGGTATGCTCTTTTATAGTGATGTTATACAATTTAGGTGTGTGTTTTTATTGTATTAACCCATAATTGTGTCTGCTGTGTTTTATGTAAGTTTAATGTTTTCCCAGCATGCCTTCATGTACCAACTGAAGGTTGTGTGTTGTCGCTTTGTGTGCTTGCATGGCTAGTTGATTGTTTTTAATTGTGTTGATTTTTTTTGCTGTTTTTGGTTGTTATACTTTTAGATTTTTTTAAAGGTTTCAAAACATCTTGCCAAAAGACTGCACTTGAAAATTAGCCTGCTGGCTAACACTAGGACATTTACAGAACTGTTGATTAACGTGTGTTGTCCTCCAAAAATGTAGAGTAGTTGTTATTTGTTGATTGGATTGAGGCAGATCTGAATGTAAACTTACAGTCTATTATAAGAAAGGGATAGGGTTTACACAAACTGATGGTTGGAGAAGCCTGATATACGTCACCAGAGATAAGTGTGTTGTTTTAGGATATGGGATTTCATATTTCCATGTTTAAACATGCTGCTTACATGATACTATTAACATTGAATTAGCAACGATATGCCTTTTCACTTGTTGTTTTATTGTATGGTGCCTGGTTAGTGTAACTTTCACCAAATGTAAACTCAAGCCCAACCTTTTGGCAACTCATGAGTTAAATGCAGTACTCTCACCAGGTTCTCAGAACTGTGAAGCTCATGTGTAGTGGAGGCACATCTTGTGATGAGAGACTTGAACATGCAGCCCACCACCACAGTTCCCATGCTCTGGGCCAGAGACTTGTCTCCTCCAGTGGTGAAGTTGTTCCCGAAGCCAGCCTTGTCTGCAAACACAAACAAGTCATCTCAGAGGAAAAACTGTGACCTGGCTGCCATGTCTGGGCAAAATCACTGAGGCTCAGCCATAAGTGCCAAACAATAAAGGGAAGCAGGAAACATTGATGTTTACAAGATGAAAAGGGGGAAAATCCGATAGCACGTATGATAGGAAAACCTAAAACGAGATTTGTGCGGGGTTTTGAAGGTTTGCATACATGCAAGTGACTGTGGCCTGAGAGATACTAATAGACCTAACAATCAGGTCATGCTCTGATTTCACAGCAATGTTGAGTTTAGTTTAGCTGGATCTATAAAGCTGGTTTTTAGATTGTTTATTCGGTAAGGCCTAAGCACTGTTTAGCTCTACTACAGGCGAGAACATCACCCTGGACATTTTGAGGGGTGCAGGAATGGGTGTAATGCCTAGTTTTGGCAGTAAATTTAGATATTGTGTATCTACCGATGTTTCTTTTATTCGCCCTCCTGGACCTCTCACCTGCACTGCCGTATTCTGCAAGAGAAAAGATGGTGGGCAACATTGGTGTCAGGCCAGCACAGACCTGTACTCGTAAGTCAGGAAACACCAACTCATTCCAAAACACACATCCACGCACAGATGCACACCCACAGATGCAAAAAGAAGACGGCCCAAAAAAAACAGGGATATCATTTTCATAACACTCACTCATGCTCACTAACTTGCCAGAAATCAATCGAAATTCAGCTTATCTTGCTGTTTTGATTCCATAAAATTGAAAAATACAAACAATAAAAATTGACACTGTCAATATGATGTTTGGCAAGTCTGCGGAAAGGACGAGTGATGAGGGACTGGGGTACAAACAGTGGAGTTTGACAGACGGACGGACAGAAAGAAAGAAAGAAAGAAAGAAAGAAGTACTACTGGCAGACATGAAGGCAGAAGACAGAAGAGGCCAAGGAGCAAGAAACGAATGACATTAAAAAATGTAGAGACGATCTGTATTTCCAGCTAATTTTGAGTTAGTTGTTCTTCCAAGCAATGGTTTCATTTTCTTGCTTCTAGTCATCTATCAAAGGTTTATCCTCACCATATTATTAAATTAATACCCAAGTCTTCCAGTTTTGAGTCACAAGACGGCACCAATGAGCTATTCTAAGTTGGTATGAAAACAGATTGCATGGCCTTTTTAATGGATTTTAAGACTTCTTTATTGTGATAGAACTGTAATGCCATTCATTTGCTGGCATGTCCATTCTTAAATTAAATATAAATGTTTGATGTTGGATAGATATACCCAACCTCCAAACCAAGTGTGTAGTAGCTAATCATTTAATCTACTGAAAAGACCGAAAGAGAAAAGCCCTGATATATGACACTAAATAATTCTGCCTGCTAAATTAGGTGCTATGATCTGGTCTGATTGTTCACGGCAAGTAAAATTTCTGTTGTGTATCTGAGACATGTGGTATGACACAGAAATATCCAGATGTTCTGATAAATGGAAATGTAACAGCCACAGTGTTCATAGGAAAAGCTACTCACTCCAGTCACTTCTACAAGAAATGAGACTTAATTGCACAATGTACAGTCAGCAGGTAATTTTCGGACAGGGGATCAGGTACCACCTGTTTAAATCTGGAGGGGTTTGTTTTCCCATAATGACTGGCTAACTCTACAGTACATTATCCTGCTTATTTACCAAACAAATAAATACATGCATAAGAAATACTGATCTGATTTTATTATCTTATTTATAGATTAACTTAGCTTTTGCTATAAAGAAAACAGCTAATTACTTCTTAGAACAGCGAAACAGTCAACAAAATAAATGCTCCTTGATAGTATAATATTAATATATATATATATATATATATATATATATTTTTTTTTTTTGTCGGTTATTGTGAATGTTACCCTGTGTGTTGATGTCTACCCTGTCTGGCGCTCCTGTTTTCAAATCATTAAATATCCTTTATTTAGTCATCTTCGTCTTCCTGCCTGGTCTTTGGAACACCCTGCCCGTGACAGTAACATGTCTTAATCTATTTTAAGTTTTCTCTCATCCAGCTCTTTTTGTCTCTTACCGGTTAGTTGTTCTTCCAAGCAATGGTTTCATTTTCTTGCTTCTAGTCATCTATCAAAGGTTAATCCTCACCATATTAATAAAATAATACTCAAGTCTTCCAGTTTTGAGTCACAAGACGGCACCAATGAGCTATTCTAAGTTGGTATGAAAACAGATGACGGAGTTATACAAGAGACATGAAAATAGCAACGGTATCTTGCCATGGACAACAGTCAAATATACAGCTTAGCAGTTATTATTGACCAGAATTGATCAGAATCAAGTATTTCAGAGAGCTGTTTAATAATTACTTCAAATTCGCTTGAATGAATTTTATAGAACCCTAGAATAAAAAATTTGTTTGTGATACACTATCTGTCAAAAGTTTTGAATAATTAAGATTTTTCCCAAGGCTACATGTATTTGATCAAAAACACAGTGAAAACAGTAATATTGTGAAATATTATTACAATTTAAAATAAGTGATTTCTGTTTTCACATGTAATTTATTTCTGTGATGGCAAAGCTGAATTTTCAGCAGCCATTACTCCAGTCATCAGTGTCACGTGATCCTTCAGAAATCATTCAAATATGGTGAAATTAAACTTTAACATCACAGGAATAAATTCTAAATTCAGCTTAGCCATCACAGGAATAAATGATTTTTTTTAAAGAAAACAGTTATTTTAAATTGTAATATTTCATAATATTACCTTTCTGCTGTATTTTTAATAAAATAAATGTAGTCTTGGTGAGCATAAGCGACTTATTTCAAAAACATAAAAAAAAAAAAATCTGAATTAGTCCAAACTTTTGACTGGTAATGTTCTATTTAAATACAACATTTTAAATGTCAATTTACAGTATTCTGAAATTAAACTGTAATTAAATAAAAGTTAAATACACAGCTCAACAATCAAATTGTAAAAAAAAATCATGTTTATCTCTCTTTTAGGAAAAGACAAATCCATCTCTATTACTGTTGCATGAAAATGGGGCTCATGCTGTATCTTTGGAGATTTCAGAAAAGGGATTAAAAAATATGCCTAGGCATGTTAAAGACATGCACTTAATAAGTGCAGCTCTGCCCTCTTACTGTCAGTGATTGGCTCCATGCAGAAGCCAAGTAGGGCATGCAGGAAATCCACAATGTTGTTGAGCGAATCCTTATTAACGTATTCTTTCATAGTCTGACGGAACTGCACTTTATCCAGCGTGTACAGAGTAGTCAAACAATTCTGCGCCTAAAAAATAGGACAGAGCATCTGGTCATTCACCTTTGTTGGAGACAAACTGCTACATGCAAATGTACTATATTCTACATATTTTATGAAATCCATATCATCTGACCACATGACTAATAGTAGTCTATAACTAATAGTAGGCTAGTCTGACAGCAAATCAACATAATGCTGTCTAACAGAGATCAGTGATTAAACCTCTTAAAAAAAGGTTAATCTGTACTGTAAAATTATGTTTTAATTGTACACATATATTGACCTGCATCCGAAGGCGGTCTCCAGAAAGCCCACGGTGGCCTTCACCACAACCGTACGCACAGCCAAGTGATTTTACGATCTTAATGAGCATGGTGAGAGCCAATCTGTGAGTGCTGAGTGAAGTGTCTCCATCCTGTTGATGATTTTAAAAATGTGATAATTACTCACACATATTCATTTACAACAGATATATTAACTGTCTTACCTGGTTGTCCTTGTTATTCTTTATATCATCTCTGCTTCCTCCACGACTCTCTCCACCCCCTCCTCCTCCATCTCCTCCATTAGGTGCTGCTCCTGTGCCTCCAGCCGCCTCCCCCTGAGCTCCACCCACACTCTGGCTGGCTCCCTCCTTCAGATGCTCCGCCTCTTTGTCCTCAGGTTTGGAGGCTTTCTTCATCACACTGGGCACCACCCCCAGCTGCAGGAGGCATTCGATGATGTTGAGCGCCACGTCGCAAATCCGAGAACTGATGTCATGGGTGAGTACGGAATACAGGGCCCGCAGAATAGCCTTAAAAAACACCACAGCGGTAAACAGGAAAGGCAACACTACTCATAATATGAACCATATGGTCAGATGTTTTCAAGCTTTAATGGGGTGAACTAAATCTAAAATAATTTTAACATTTTCTTCAGAAGTTAATGGCCAATCTAAACACTACCAGTCAAAAGTTTGAAATACTGTAATTACTTTTTTATGTTTTAAAGAAGTATTTTATGCTTACAAAGACTGCATTTATTTGATTAAAAATTAGTGCTGTCAAACGATTAATTGCAATTAATCGCATACAAAATAAAAGTTTTTGTTTGCATAATATATGTGTGTGTTCTGTGTATATTTATTATGTATATATTACATACAGAATGTATTTTGAAAATATTTACATGTATGTACATGTCTATATTTATATTCATATAATTTATATTATAAATAAAAAATAAATATCTTTAATATATAAACATAACATATTTTTCTGAAATATATACATTCATGTGTGTATTTATATATACATAAATATACACAGCACACATATTATGTAAACAAAAACTTTTATTTTGGATGCGATTAATCTTGATTAATTGTTTGACAGCACTATTAAAAATACATTAAAAACAGTAATATTGTGAAATATTAATAAAATAATAGTTACAATTATTAAAATACCTGTTTTCTATTATAATTTATTTTCAAATATATTTTATAAGTTTTCAGCAGCCTTCATTGTCACATATTCCTTCAGAAATCATTCTAATATGCTGATTTGGTCCTCAAGAAACATTGATTATTATTATTATTATTATTAATGTTAAAAAAAGTTGTGTTGCTTAATATTTTTTGTGTAAACTGTGATACACTGCCATTTAAAAGTTTAGGGTACGATTTAAGAAAAAGAAAAAGAAATCAATACTTTTATTTAGCAATAAAAAGTGACTACAGACATTTGTCATCTTTAAAAATCCTAATTATTCCAATTTTTGACCGAAAGTGTATAAGCAAATTTGTCTCTCTATGACACTAAACCCATGCCCCTTTGCTCGAGGCTGCACCCCTTACCATGAGGTCCAGCATGCCATTCTTCAGAATGAAGTTGTTAGTGCCCTCAATAGTGTCTCGGTCCTCTAGCGATGTGTAATTGATGCAGGAGTCTGTCAGACTTCGGGGAAGGTTGGAGCAGGCCAGCGGCTCACATGGCATCTCAGGGATGGGAATGGGGTTACACAGTTTCTTAATGTGCTCTGTGAAGAAATCTGTGTAGCCTACATTAAAGGAAGCCACAGTTGTGTTAAATGTAGCCATGGTGATGGTGGAGATCTGGGAACGAACTGAGAAAGAAGTCAATGAGTCAAAAGCACAAATGATTATTAACAATTCAAATATATTTGTATATTTATTTTTTTCTCTAAAATGTTCAGCGAACCCACAAGCATCTCACTGTGGCCCGCAGTTTGAAAACCCCTGTTGTATTTTATTAATCTTTATTAATTCCATGAAAGATTAACAGCAATAGATTTAGAATTAATACTGTGATAGTGCTATTTATTTGCTTACCACCCTCTTTGATGGTATTGTCACTGTGACTGTTGGAGTGTTCAGGCAAGTTGTGGTGGGAGTGAAAATGTTTTGCTCCAAGACTGTCCACATCTCCGGCAGTATCTGAGCTTCCACGACGTGTTAACTTCCCTTCAACACAACAAAACACAACCACAATATGACAATAATTTGAAACCAACCTCAAACAAGTGCAAGCAATTTGTGAATGCACAATTTGTATGGGCAGGGCAAATGCATTAAACCATAAAGCACAGAATCCCAAAAAATGTAAATAAAATTTGGGAAAAGGGCCCAATTACTTTACAAAAATGTTTAATAAATTATTAAATTGATAAAGTTTCATGAAAGTTTTTTGATGATTCAAAGTTAGAGCACTAAAACTGTCTAGAAAAAAACACAGCATAAAGAAATAAAATGGATTTCATAGGACCCTACATACCCATGATAGTGGAAGGCCAACCACCACGGTCCAATGTGCGACGGTCATCTCCCAGTCCAGAGAAGCTTCCGAATGAGAAGGTGCTACGTGTGGGTGAGACATCCAGGTGATCCTCGTGCATCAGGAAAGGTACACCCATTCGACGCTGGCGTTTCTTCCCAGTATGGTGGAATGGGATAGAGCCTTTTCTCTCTCGATCTTCTCTACGGTTCTTAAACTGGAAAAAAAGTCAAAAAAGGTGCAAGAATAATAGAATAAAGTGCCTAGTGGCATAGTGAAAGTTAAATGTCAAGAAAATTATATCAACATTTTATTAGAGGTTTTGCAAAAATTAAAATATATCATATTGATTTACTGTCTGAAACTATGCATAAAAAATTATCTGCATACCTTTTTGAATATGTTCATACCCATCTCAGTTGAGAGGTCAGGGACTGCTGGTCTCCTGAGGTTGGTAATTGACACTTTAGAGAAGGTCTCAGAGCTCAAAGACCTGCTTTCCTCATTACATTTTAGAGTCATGTCCTTAGAAAAATGGCAAAGAAAAAAGCAGGGTATCAGAGGTATGCATTTTTAAAAAACCTTTGACTTATGGTGGTTAAAATGTTGAATAATAGTGTTTCAGTTCATTACACATCTTTTAAAGTAGCAATCGCACATCCTGATCGTGTATAATGAACTTTATCTTGTCCAAAATTAACAATTGTAAGATTGCTCAGTTATCCCTATTCCTCATTACTAGTGGCATTTTTGGATTTTAATTTCTGGAGAGGCAAAATCAGTCAGCTGCCAAGTCTAACATGGGGGCACATACAAAACACCTAGTAATTTTATATCAAGCAAAAATGCATTTAAACCATCCACATCGAATGGCTTTATTATCTCACAAAACACAATTCATCAACAAAATATTAACTGAATATTATTAGTATCAGGGTAATTTTCCGTCTTGATTTACTTTTCACTATGTTCTGTGCCTGTTTGCCTGTGTTCCTCATCCTTTTTAATGTCCACAGTACACCTGTTCTGTTTTAACTTGATTACATTCCTGTTAAATAAGCCCTGTTTCTTCAGTTCCTTTGTTTGTTCTCATAAGTGCGTTTCTCCTACAATTTCCTGAGTGTCATTTGTGGATTTATAAAGGCTGTGTTTGTTACTTATCTCCATCGTTGTGTGCTTTAGTACACCCACCATAGTGTGACAATTAGTACCATATCTGTAATTTTTCTTTATTGCTTTCTATCAGTATGGGTTTTTATTGAATTTATATCATCTGATATTAGATATTAAATTGTGCATTTAAATTTCCCTTTATTTTTACATTAAGATTACTTTACATTAAGATTATCATCTTACACTTAACCTTTAAATATACAATCCAAAATGCAGTAAGTCTCAGAATATTTTTATTTTTTTACTTTTAATTTCATAAAATGCTGTGATGCCTAAATTCACTTGTACTATATCATTGCATTGCAATGGATGTTTATATTTTTTTAGTCAAATTATCCAGATTGTATGGTATTTTAATACTGGCCATTATTGATTATCGACCATAGCATAAAAATAATAACCTGCTTATTTATATAAATATCTGCTGGGCTTTTAATATCTGATAACAGTTACATGTCTTCCACATAATACACAGTGTTGTAATGTGTATGTAATGTACAAGTTTATTTTATGGTAAAACCAAATCACAATTTTAAATGAATTAATGATCACAGCATGTATTTCAAAGCCTGGCCCCACCAGAACCTAATACAGATATGCCACTGCCCATTACCATCTGAAACTGCTATGTAAAAACACACAGTCAGTTACTAACATAGGCTTGTTACCTGTGTTTTGTGAGTATTAACCAAAGAAGGGGTAGCAGCCACCATGGAATTACTGCGGGGCCGTGGTAAGGGGGGTATCAGGGGCTCAGGGGGGCGTTCAGGCTTCTCCTGCAGTATCTGACGCAGCCGCTGCAGGTAGTATATGAGGGCCCAGTGCACACCCTCTTCTGTCCAGTGAGGCTGCATCAAGCAACGCAGCACTGCAACATCAAAATAGGTGGCATACCTTGCTCGCTGTGATACAGAGATGCCACCAGGGACTGAGAAACTTTCAGTCAAAGAAAGAGAGAGAGAGATTTGTTACAGAAAATTATGGTCAAAAAGAACAGAAGTTCAGACTGAGTTTGCTCAGGATCGTTGCTTGGCAACTGCAGTGCAAACACATGCAGTTAACACTGTGACAGATGGGAGTCTGACTGGAACTGGACACTACTTATCTAGCCAACATAGGATGAGTTTCAAGAAAGAATGCTTTAAAATATTTTCTTTAAGAAGATTGTAATAGATAAACTTTTTGCCAACACTTTACAATAAGGTTCAATTTGTTAACATTATTTAGTATGTTATAATGATGTTTTAATATGGTATAAATGAAAGTTCAGAAGAACAGCATTTATCTCAAATAGAAATTTATAGCATCCTTGTAGTATTAATTTCTATACCCCCCCCCCAAAAAAGGCATATGAATCACCTGGCTCATCTGGAAATTGAGGTCTATTTGATACATTTTTATACAGCAGTCATACTGATACAACAGGACATTTTTGTGATACGTTTTTGCTAAGTGGAATATTATTTGCGCCCACTTTAACTGACTTCTAGTTTAAGCTTTTACTGTTTTTGTGCTTTTTAGCTAATTG